CGTTTCAGACCTGAACTGGCAAATCTTATTAGCCCGGTGTTTCCGAACTTAAGCAGTACTCTCCTAGATGGCAAAGCAGCAGACTCCTGACAGATGCTGGCAGGAATGTCTGCAGGGAGGAAATGTCGCTTTGAATGTTGTTTGCTGTGTTTCTGAACATTTATGGATAGTAAGCAAGGACCTTTTAAAAGAATGTGATGAGTTAGATACCAAAAGCAAAGCCTAAAGCTGTTTCAAGGAATCTTAGCAAACATGCATACTGCCGAGCCAGGGACAGGCAGCCTTTCCTTCCATCTTCTATTCATGCTGCCGCTTCTTTCTGCGTGGCACTCTGGGAACTGCAGTCTTATCATTAGGTTATAAAAAGGTGAAGGCTTACTGCTTTGATGATGACCTTGGTATGAAATGCTAGAGATTTTTTCCTCATGGCACTGCTCTTATCAGCAATAATCCTGGGTATTAGAAGAGAGGGAGCGATTCTGGTGACTAATGTAGGCATGGCTTAGCGGAGTCTGTAGCATGAATATTCTCTGAAACCTGCACTTAACATTATGTGTACACCTCATTTTAGTACTCACAAAGCCCTTAAGGATATGACAAACTTCTGTTTGGTTTTCGCTGTAAGGAAATTGTAAATAATTCATAGGCCTTTGCACAGGTGATTTCTCTTAGTGCAAGCTGCCAAACCTCCCAGCCTTCCCAACAGCCCCAAGGCAAAGCCCTTCCCTGCCTGCCTGCGTGTGCCATGCTGCCGCAGTGCCACCCAGTGCTGCGTGCCACTGCTGCAGCTGGCAACAGGCGGGTCAACTCGCCTGCTGTCTGTCCGTGGGTCTTGGGCACCCCGTTCTTGTTGCACAAACAAAACCAGCCCACAGACTGGCCAGGTCCTTCCTAAACTGTAGCCACCTTTGTTGGCACCAGCCTGGTTAAAATTAATGTACTTGGAAATAATTTTTGGCTTTCTAAAAGACCTAATTAAAATGAAAACTGCATTAGTAACATAAACATCCAACTCAAACAAATTGCTGCGAAAACCGTTGTATTGAAAATTTTCAGCTCCTTTCAATAGTACATCAGCTTCTTCGCTCCAACACAGGGACACACAGCCATCCTACACCCTGGTAATTGGTCCTGGCATAGGCCTTAATACATTATTCCCATATAGCCGTATCACCAGTTTCAGCACAAACAGAAATGACAGCAGCAATGGATACGTATTAAAAACCTTCTACCTCCAGGACAGAGCTATAGCTCCCTAGATAACCCAAGGGCTGGTGTTTTCCACTCCTGTAGACTGGCAGCTTTCTGTATGTCACAATCTAGGTGAGCATCCCTTGGAGGTAAGAAGTGTTAACAAGTTTAAGTTAACGGAGGAAAATAATGGGAGTTACAGGCCAACTGCAAAACATGCAAAGCACAGATGATCTGAGCAATAACTCTGCTCTCTGTGGAGTGGACCAGCAAACCAATGCTGACTGATTAAAAGCTGTTTCATCAGAACACAATTCCATAGGAATTCTGGCTGCGTAGATGGTGGAAGGAGATGCTGACAAAGCAAGTGCCCGTCCAGGACGATCACTGCTGCGAGTTCTGTTGTAGCATATTTTGCAGGGTTTTGTGGTTTTGCAGAGCGGCTACCACATCCTCGTAGAGAGTGTTCACGCTGATGCACAGGGGTTGATGCTGCAGCTCTGTCAGCTTGCAGGCGGCCAAAGTACAGAGGATGCACAGCAGCACGAAGAGCAGGACCCTCAGCACCGACCGCGACCAGGAGTGCTTGTGCCGGGGCGGCTGAGGGGGGCGAGAACTGGAGGCAGGCTCTGTAATGAGAACATTTGCAAGACAAAGAATGTGAAGAACTAATCCAACCTCTTCAACGATCTATACTGACAAACAAACTGCTCAGGTAAGATACTCCAGTCTGTGCTGCAGTTGGCTTTTGTCGTGAATTTTCATCACTTAACTCTGGTTAATAAGTCAGTGTGCAGGATCTAACTGTTTAGGATGAAAAGCTTCAGATTTAGTTTCATGGGCATCAGTGAAGAGGGTGTAAAGCACCTCTGTGTTGCACAGGATTTGGTTCTGTCCATGTAGCTCAGTACACTCAAAAAGAAATTAATGGAGGGGAGGTTTCTCTAGGAACAGCTGAAGAACTTTCTGAGTCTTGTAGCTCAGCAGTTCATTGGGAACACAGATGAAGGGGAAAAGGGCACAGCAGTAGAGACTATTAGAAGTCCTACAGGTTTCCTCCCCATTCCCACCATCTCCCAGTACCTGGGCTGCATAAAAGCCCATCTGGCAGCATCAAAATGTGATGAAGTGAAATTGGATGCAATCCCACCCACAGTGGATACTACTTACTTCGGGTCTGCACGTTTTCTTTTTTAGTTTTCTTTTCCATCTCCTGTTTTGCAGCTTTCTGAGCATCATACTCGCGTCGTCTGCGTTCCTTTTCTTCTGCCTTCTCTCGCTTCCTCAGTTCCCTCTCTTGAGCCTCCTTTGCTCGCTGTTCTGCTTCACGCTTCTTCTCCATTTCTGGGGATTAATAGGAAGGGTTTTTTTCCTTTTATGTAAAGGGTTGTCATTGCCTTCTTCCTTATTACCTGCTTATCTGTTCCCAGTTGGAATGAGGAAACAAATCAAATAACTATCCTCTTTTTAATTTTTTTTTAGTATTTACATACATTGCATTTTGCTCCCTCAGAATTAGGCTTCCTTTAAAATAAATCCTGTGCTCTTCTTTCATATTTTTTACAGGTAACCTATAGTGCATTCTACCTAGAGATCTAACTATTATTCAGGCAGGCAAGAAATCACGTAGTTATCCCCAGCTATCTTTCTTCCTCCAGCCCTTCTAACCTACTACTCCCAGAGTTCTCACGATTTTGATAGGTACAAGTATTTGTCAGATGGCAATCAGTATGTTCAGGCGTGTAAGAGAGATCAAGAACAGTCCTCAGCGGACAGCACACGAGGGCTTTCTGTGCTTACCTCGCTCTGCTTGGAGCTTCCGTTGCCGTTGTCGATCCTGCTCAGACTGGATCGCTTTCATGTGCTGCAGTACCTTCAAGGTCCAAGAAAACAACCTGAGGCCTCTGCAGGAGGCTCGTTGCACAGTCAGTTCAAAACAGAGCAGCCGGAGCATAGCTGAGGACAGTCAGCTGGGGCTGACCACCGACCCTGACTTACCCCTGCAGGTACGGCTCTGAAGAGAGCTTGCCTCTTCCCGCATCAATCTTTGCAGTTAAGAAACAGATCTTTCCATTAAAGAACAAACATGCCAACCTGGTGCTAGCCGATCACAGAACACTTCTATTGATGTGAGCCTATAGTTTGGAACAGCTTCTCCAGAGATTTTTGTACCCTGGACTACAAGCCTAGATACAGATTTTTTTTGTCTGATTATGCCTCTGCTTTCTTGGCAGCCAGCATTTAGTCCTCTCTCAACTCCAGTAATGGAAGAGAATCCTACTCAGCCCACTGTTTGCTCTCTACAGGCACAGAAGCAGTGAAGTCAATGCAGTGAACCTTCACCTCACTGTCTGAAGAAACTTCAAACTACTGTAGTAGCTGCCCAGCTTGCTAAGCAAAAGGAGGAAGAACCAGCACCCGTAAAGCCAAGTAAGAAAAAAAGAATAAAAGCAGATTCCTTACCTTGACAGCAGCCTGTTTACACTGCTTCTCATCCAGACAGTCTCCCGCTACTTTAGCTAGGACAGGATCCAGGGGATTGTCCTTCAGATCCAGCCACTTCAGGTTCTGCAGAAAGGAATGATAAAGGGCAGGCTGTAAGAGCACAGTAGTCTTGCGATTATTTCAGAGTTCCAAAGCAGAAGCAAAGAACTACTTAGTTTTCACATGAAGGAAACCGGTACAGAAGACAAGCAGAGAGCTTGAGCAGAGGTGTTTTCAACAGATGCGAGATAATTTCCACTGAGCTGCGGTGCAGAGCCAGCTGCATTTTGGAATGGGTAGTCACAGAAATCAACTTGAGAAGGATCACAAGACCCTGGGCTGCATCCCAAAGCTTTATGTAACTGCCCAGCAAACAGTTTTACCTTGAGCTGTGCAAAGCTGACGGGCAGGGTGACTAAACGGTTGTTCAGGAGGTCCAGGTGCTGCAGATTGACCAGGCGGCCAAAGTCCAAGGGCAGCTGTTGAAGCCGATTTTTACTCAAATCCAGTTTTACCAGATGCATCAAACTGCAGAAGTCTGACTATAAACAAAAACACAAAACCCAGAAAAAGCTTGTCAGCACCTTTATGAAGGAACCTCAGCAGGGAGTATATGGAAACAGCCTGCACCTTACATAAGCCACAGATCCTTAACTTGCTAGAGAACTGTGACGGAGGGAAATTCATTCTCCTCCTTTGCCTTGGAAGATGGAGGTGGAAAACAGCGGGATAGAGAAGACAGACAGACAGACAAGGTGATGTATGGCAACACAACAGAAACAAACTCAAGTCTTCACTGCTGATGAAACCGGTCTGCATTCACGTGAGGATCCTCCGGCAAGAAGATGCTGCAATCTTCACACAGCACAAACCTCTTCTCTCTCCTGCCTCAGCCAAAACCACCCACCAGTACTGACCCGTCACGGACAGCAGAGTCATTCAGCCCCCCGGGGTGAGGAAAAGTGCCAGTTCCAAACCTCCCGCTGAACATTTGCTGAAGCAATAGTTGTCTTTTCTAAACATTTCCCAGCAGACTCATCCCCACAAAGGCTCTCTAGCACCTTACCGGCAAGGAAATGAGGTTGTTACAGGACAAATCCAATACTGTAGCTTTTGGAAGAGCG